ATCCCTACCCTGAAACCTAAACCCTATATATATATATATATACATATTCCCTTATTCCCTACTAAGTCCCAGTAAGTCAAAACATGTAAAACCTCCCAGGCCCCAGACTCGCCGCCGCAGAAGGGGCAGAATCGTGGTACGGGAAGCTCCTCCTGACGACCAGCCGCTGGTCCCGAGTCCTGTGGCAGGCTACTTTACTGGAGGGTTAGTAGGCAATAAGTGACTATATTTCTGCTACAAGGACTATATAGGGGTTATATAATTATTTAGGGCCTATATAAGGTCATATTTAGGGATTGTATAAGGATTATATTCCCGTATTCCCTACTAACCACCGGTAAGGTGCGGGCAGAAAGACAAGCCGACGGGCAACTGCCACAAGTTTCTGCGAAATTCGGTTGGAGCAGAAGAATGTCCAGGATGAAGAGAAGAATGGGCGGTGACAGTCACCCTCTACTGTGAGTCTGTGAAGCCCCCAGCTGCGATACAACGACCTGCAACTAAGGTCGAAACACGATACAGGGACAGTCCTAAGCACAGCATCGTATCCACAAAGCCAAGTATGGAAGTCTCTCCTCTACAGCAGAGAATCTCACTTCCACTACTTCTGGAAGATACGAGGAGGAGGGTTGAACTCGTTCGTGCTCGGTGGCGCCAAACCTCGTGTATAGACGCATGTATGTGGATCGGTCCTACAAGTACCTGAGACTCTCTCCCTAAAGCCTAAATCCTGTTGGCGATCTTTCACCTTCTTCCAGGAAGGGAACCCTGTCCCTGGCCTCTGACTTTTTGCCAGCCGACCTTGATGTCACCAGTGTTCCAAGAGGCTTTCTGGATTGGGGGATGTAGCCTTCCCCCAAATAACATGGAACCCTAAACCCTTTGTAATATCCTTTGAGGGAGAAATTTAATCAGTGAATTCCGGACCCCCTCCCCTGGCAAAAGCACGCAGGAGAAAAGAATTGAACGACCCTTGAAAACAGGAAAGGTTTCAATAACAGCAGAAAAGATCTTAATGTGAGCTAGTCTAAACTCCTAGCACCCCCCTTAGCAACCCTATAATTCTCCCCGATATAATCCCCTTCATGCAGTTTAGACTATAGTTCATATGATCACATAATTCTCCTCATTCTTCCTACAGGGACCAAGTTTAAGCAGAAGCCGACAGAGTTAGAAGTCTGCAAATTGACGTACGCTTGGCCTGAAGATTACCACCAAAAAATGACCGGCCCTCTAAAATCTAGGGGATTTCGGGTTTTCAGGGTTTAGGGTTTTGAGTGGGGGTCCTAAGTTTGGTGTTGAAAATTGTTTTGTTGTTCGTTCCATCTATACTATGCTGGCATTGAGGATGGCGAGTTGGTTGAGGAACCCATCCTGACTGGACATGTTTCATGGTGGCAGTCCAACATTTTCAAACTCTTCTAAGTTCTGGAGCACAGTGAACGTCCACACATGAGCTCCAAATGTCCATAAGCCACTCAAGAAGAGAAATCCCCCCCAAACCTAAACCCTAAACTCTGAGGCCAGAACTTCCCACCCTTTTTCCCTGGCGTAGCTGGTGATGGTGATTTTCAGTCTTGGGATTCACCCAGGTCTTGGTTGGGCCACATTACAAACCCAAGGTCTGGGAGCGTGCTGAATAAATGCATCTACTTGGTGTTCAGATTCAGCAAGCGAGTGCGGACGATGTGGGTTTGACTATAGCAAGTCTGAAGCTGCAGCCGGTAAGAGCCTTGCTGCGCACCTTTGTATTTCTGGCCTGTCTACTTACAGCTTAGCCACGGATGTCTACATCCCAAAGACTGCAATAGAAGACTTCATATAAAGGTCCAACCAAATACGAACAGCTTCACATAGTGGGACTGAGGCAGGACCTTTGTTCATGGACTCCAATCAGGAAGTCTAGTACAACTAGCGCTACAGTGCAGGACCCTTGAGGTATGGCTTCTCACGCAACAAATGGGGAATGCTTGGGGAATGGTGTCCGGACTGTACTATAACTAAAGAGACCCTTATCTTTGGAAATTGCATCCGGTGCTCAGAACGAAATGAAGGCATGGATCCCTATCAGTCCCTAGATAAGCCCCTGTCACAAGTCATCTTTTACACCTGATATAAGACACAAACAAGCCCGTAGCATGAAAGGCGTTCTTGATGATGGGATATTGGGCATGTTTCACAACAGCCGGGGGTATGGATCCTTGGCAACCATTGCCCGGGCAGTACTGAGCACCAGTGGGAACAGCTGAGGGGCTTCTAACTTTGCATGGTATGGATATTGAGGGGAAGCACATTTAACTGCAGTGCAGCGCAGCTGGAAACATGTGTCTGAACGGCACAGACCCCAACCCCCCTCCCCAAGAGAACTTCCTGGACGAAACTCACCGCCCTTCCTGAACCTGCGAACTGCCGCTTTCAATCTCCAAGATGTATGAGCCCTAAACTTTCCCAGATCCGAATCCAAATCCAACACCCTAAACCCTTCAAAGTACTTCTGCAAGATATGAATCAGGATGGAGGCCAGCCTGACTCTACCACTCCAGGGGGCGTAGGGCCTCCATGAGAATTAGGAATTTGGTTGTAGGATTCAGAGACGACTTTATGGTTTGGGGTGAATGGACTTTGCGGGGGTGGCCTAAAATAAGAACCCCCCTAGCATAACCTCACATGATGTAGTCTTTGTACAGGGGGGACTTTCAAGAAAGGGCGCATATTTTGGAAACACCACTGCGCGAATTATTCAAATAGGAAAGGCTTAAGTCTTTAAGTTGCCCGACATTGGCCACTTGCCAAGTCCATCTGCGGAGGGTTGCACTTTGGGCGAAACTAGACTCCGATGACGCTCTTGAGGGGAAATGCCCATCAACATCAGGAAATGAGCCGGGCCATTCAACACAATCTCAGGTTTTTGAAGTCATGGAACCTGGGCCCAGACCGCGACACGGTGTCAAAAGCTATCGACAGGTGCACATGGCATGCTAAGCAAGCCGCGAAAGCGGCGGGTGAGTAAGACTTATAGCCCCCCTTAGGTAGATAGAATATGGCTTTGGGTAGATCAGAACAAGATCCCGGTATACCCCATATTCGATCTACTTAAGGGGGACTATCTGCACCTGGAGGAATGGATGATGCTGGACTCCAGCTGCCCGCAATCAACCCCTCAAACCAAAAATCTCAAAGAAGCTACAGCTACAGCCATCGACACCAGCAAGATTAACCGATTCGAGGCTAACTTGGGCTGAGATTTCACATCGTCATATAACTTTATGTCAAACTTGAATGTAAAGACATGCTTGCCGACAATCCCCCCCCCCCCCAATTTCATCGCTTGCAAGCGTGTCCCTGAGGTTCAACCACGAGTAGTTTCAAGAAATATGAAACATTCCAGAAGAGCTACACATGACCAAGACTGTGCATGCAAATTGCTCTTAAGCGCGGATAGACCTAAACCTATCACTAGGAGTGCATCAAGTCACAGCCGGCTTGCATAGAGAAAACAGGTACAAGCACAGACAGTGGCGATTTGCTGGTGCCTCCAGGAAGGTTGACATAGCCACCCCTCAGCAAAGAAGTTTGCAGACTGGCATGTGCTGCTTCCATGCTTTCCATGCGAGTCCGCGCTAAGCAGGGAAGTAGGCACTTGCAGCAAACGTTGCGAAGAGGCCCACGATGCTTATGGTTGTAAAACCCCATGCAGTGAGATCGTATACAACCCTTTTATTTTCGGGAGATGGGAGTTCGGCCTCCCAGAGTACCCAAACACCCTGACCCCGCGATTCTGTAGAAAACCCATAGATTTGCCAAGGCAGGGAAGCGGGGACTCCTGATCACGCGCCGGTAAGTCATATTGTAGTCAGACATCCCCATGGTTCTCTTCCGGAAGTTTAGCCAGCAGCTAAAACAGCCATTGGGCAAAGCAAGAAGGACACCACAGGGGACTAATATGGAGAGTTTCTCAAAATGGAAGCACTTAGGGACCCTATAGATGAATACATGGGATTATAAAGGACTTAGAAGGGTCCCTTCACCCTATAAAGGACTATGATCCACTATATAACGATGTTCTCGAAGCGCTTCCACATCAAGGCTGCCTCGGGGCCCCAGATTCCCGGTTAAGCTTCATCAGGGACATCAGCATCCTGTGTTAGAGTGTAGGGATTAGGGTTTAGGGATTAGGGACACCAACTCTCATCAGACCCCACCCGGCCCACTCATAGGAAGCTGTGTTTTGAAGTGCCTTGCCGGAGACCGGCGGACTGTACAAAGACTGTACAACTGTCAGAAAGCGGCGTCTGAAACCCCTCCGCCAGCATGTTACGATATACATATATATATATGTATGTACATATGTATATATGTATACGTATGCATGTCTAGATAGCGATAGAGAGAGATATATGGCATATTTGGGTTGGAAGATCGTAAGCCTTGTGGGTTGGGCATGGAGCTACAAAGTCATGGAAGAGGACAGAAAGTGTTGCTCCACGCTCAACCCCAATGGAGCCCTCAAGCCTGGACCAAAACATCCTCCGGCTTCAGCGCAAATCTCTTCCCGAAGCATGAAACACCCCGTCACCCCCACATTAAATGTCATTTTTTGGAGTCCTAACTTCACGTTAGCGGTAGGGGTGTTTGATGTTAAGGGAAAGGATTACTCATTAGCGGCTGCCCCGACGCCATCGCGGGCAGCAAAAAGATCGAGCACATCAGGGTGTAGCCTGGGATGTGTCGTTTGTCAAGAACATGCTTTGTTTTGATTGGGTGTTCCTGATGGAAACCGGACTCTCTCAGATTTGGGAGGAAGGAACCGAATTCTGGGAACGTTCTTGGCAGCATGGATTCTGGGAGTAGAATACTGGCTTTGCCTTGGGGCGAGCAGCATGGTGAAGCGGACATTTCTCACAATCATGTTTGCCTTAACACATGTTTCATTCTGCACTTGGGATGACTTGGGAACATTTTTTGGAGGCGGCGTCAAAATTACTTGTTTTGGCCTCTTCTGGTTTTGAATCAGGGCCCCCCTATTGATCTACGCGCCTCTGGGATTTTTCTCAGAACCCTGCCCTAGATGGACGGGCCTATCGCTGTAGCACAGCCCCCAATCGAGCTTGGGGATGTTTGCGCAACAACTAGAGCCTAGACAAAAGTAAACCCTACTTTTTACCTCGACTCATATGACGCAATGTTTGGCGCTACATTGCAGTAGCTCGGATCAACACCTAGCTCCATCCATTCACGAGTTCACAGGTTGTAGGCAATATGGCTACGTGTCCCGAGACAGGGCGTTTCTACCTATCATTCGCAAACTCCTGAGAAAGTTGTGATTGGCATCTACGCATGGCACATGTATGTAGGACTACAGAGACCAGCCCCAAAAGCGAAGAAAGAACGAGCCTGCAAGGCAACAGGCATGTCCTTCGGCTACTTTAGGGTCGGTTTTGTAGTGCGCCGGTGAGCTACAGCCAATCCCTAGCCTCATGTTAGGGGTGCCCATAAAGCAAACCCTGCATTTCGGGGGTAGATCACAGACGTCAAAACATACTCAGCCGAGATTTGGAGTTCTTTCTAACCTTGAACTTCCTGAGACAAATTAATTACATAACGGCGCATATCTGGATTTGCAGAGGTGGCGGTTCGAACCCATTTCCACACCTACCCCGCATACACTGAACTAGCCCAAGCAGCGCACGCTTCAGGTAGCCCCAGGCCTCTGACGCAGGTTCCGGCGCCTTGCTGGCAACCTCCAAAGCCTTCCAGAGAAATGCAGGACCCCTTTGCAGATATCGTTGCAATGGCAAGCAAGCACGAGGCTTGAAAGCCCAAGACAGATAGCTAGAACCTCATGAGCCGAATCTCCCGAAACGAAGCAAAGGTAAACTCTACATACCCCTTCCCTTTAATTGTCCATTCTATGTTCCATTTGATTCTCCAGTATGGGGGTAATGTACCCCAAAGTTGGACCCAATAAGCAAGCCCAGTGGCCTCTCGAATGGCTGTTGAGCTAAAGTCGGGGATCGCTCCACTCTCAACCTTTAGCAGCCGGAAAGAGGGATGAAGCTTGGTCTCAGATGCCACAATCTGCTCTGCCCTCTCGGCGGTGTCCTCTTCATCCTGTCGGAAGGTGATGAGGGTGGGCTGGCGTGCAGCCTGAGGACATCTCACCAAGAAGTCGGAACCGTACACAGGCAGGATGTGAACATCGTGCTTTGGATCAAAGCAAGCCGGCGACTCCAGGTGGTCCATGGCAATGCGAAGTCTCCTCTCGAGGCACGGCCGCATCTCGGCTGCTGTATGAAGAGCACTAGCTATGCCAAATGGCACAACACAGGTGAGTTCTTCTGAATGCGCAGCCGCCTCGCACATGAGCACGCGATCACCAAGACTGATCGCGTGGGCACCCAGCTTCCGCTTAACATAGCTCTCGCTCGAAGGAGCCAGCGCATAGCCCGCGACAACCACAGACCGTCCATCTAAAGATGACTGCTCGAGCAGCTTCTTGGAATGTCGCAGCATCTCTGTGTGTCCGCGATGCACGGGGTTCAACGCACCAGACAGCACCAGGACCAAAAACACGCAATCGTCGCTCTGCGAAGACAGGCTGTGTGTTATTCGAGACACAACTTTGCTGCAGTCCCACTCGCGGGCTTTCCCAGCACTTTTCTGGCGCTTGTTCCCCATCGGCGCTAGATTGCCGGCGCCCAAATGTTGAAACACTTAGCTGCTTTAGCTTGCCAAGAACTCCTCAGTTCTCAAGTGCAGAATGCGCTTCAGATTATAAGCCTGTTTCTTCCAAAGATGGATGGCGTGGTACTGATTGCATTTTCTGTAGATAAGCTTTACTGCTTGAACCATGCGCCGGCAAAGCGTCTGTGCAGTCCAGGGGCACAAGCAACAGCTTGCTCGAGATCTCTCTCGGTATTGTACTTACTGTCCAGCGCGCAATATCATTGTGCTGAAAGAGGCAATGAAGTGTTCATGTCTGACTGCAGTATGTGTGTCCCACTCTCACCACCGCCTCTGGAAACGAAAGCGAATCAACAAAGGCTACGAAAATGCCGAAGTCAACATGTCCTGCAGCGCAGGCCTTCAGACTCCTTCTTCAAGACATTGCTATGAGTCATGCTGCCCAGATCTCGCCAAGGAGCTGCAGCTTAGTTTACAAGGCACTGACAAAAGACACACTGTCTTGCTCACATCTGTTGAAAGAAGTTGCAAGTCCCGCTGTTTATATATTCTCCTATGATTAACATTGCTGTTGCGGTGGAAGGAGGACATCTTCAACCACCCAATATCACCTACTCTTGTCTTTCCAGTATTTTGGGGGTGCCAGTGGTGACTGGCTTCCTCCATCCACAGTATCAGGAAAGATACCCCACTCTTGCCAAAGCAGGAGCAACAACAAAGATTTGTCTGAGCCACGGGCTCCGGAATGCCAACCTCTTGAGGATATCAGGGAATTCGTAAACACTGCTGGAAGGTCCAAAACATTGATTCGCTGTGATTCTACTATGACTCTCATTCGCATCCCCGAAAGGGCTTTTCCGCAACAGCGAGAAGCATGCTGAGGCACTTTGGGATACAAGGGCTGCGGTGCGTGGGCTGTGACTGAGGTAGGACGCGTCTACGTTCTATCTCTGATCTTCACTCGCTGAAGAATGCAAACTTACTTTTGATGTCCCCTTGTATCCTCATGCAATATTCATCCGCCTAGTAGGGCTCCTATCCTTGCAATGGCTATGGGCCGGCCCTTCATACGTCTCAAAAACAAATGACCTTTTTCAGAATCACAAAGCACGACGGCTTTTATTCTAGGTACCGCATCCCACAAACGATCCTTCCTTTCACGCCCAGACAGTGCATGTAGGTACGGTATATACTTGGGGCCAAAGGGGTTCGCATATATTTACTCTGAGGCCCAAGTATATTCATATATATATATATGTATATATATATACATGCACCCTACACCCCAAACCCTATATAGTGTGTGTATAAATACACACCATATAGCTACATGGACCCTTTGGGATGATTCAGGCCTGCTGCTTTCGCTGCTGTCGTGCTGCGATGTCGATGAGGCTACCCTGGCTCCGCCTGTGGGCGATGATGAGGCAGATGGCAGAAATCCCGCATCAGCCTATGCACCCAGAATCCTAGCCCATTGGGTGCCAAGCGTTTTATACCTGAACCAAGAAGATTGACTCCCTTTCCGGAGATCATTTGAGTTTGAACGCGGATTGTGAGAGTTAAAGGGTTTTCCATGCCACGAGTAGGCCAGGTTGCTAACGCTGACTCTGCTAACCACGCCCTGCGTAGAAGCCGCCATGTTTCGCAGGCGCTGAAAGCCCTGGAAGCTTCAAAACTGTACAACCAGTATAACCAGAAACGACCCTTTTCATTGAGGCAACTTACTTCTCAATTTTGAAGCAGGGAGATGGAGCACCTGCCGCCGCGTCGTCTCTGCTGGTCCTGTGGGACGCCTCCTGCACACCTGGGTTGAAGCCCTGCTCTTACTCTGACGATGCTCCAGCCACGTACTACCACTTCTACTTGACTTACTTGATCATGTTGTTTTGCAGCAGCACCGGATGCAACAGTCTAATCAATCTTCTTCTGGGAAACTGATGTCCGAACACTTTCCCGCCCATGTCCTAGCCCCTTAAAACTCTCCCGCCACATTCTGCTTCGAAAGCCCAAACTTGCTGCACAGTTTCGTGTTGCCCCGCAGGAAATATGGACAACGAGCGCTATGCTTTCCCCCAGGAACCTGCCAGTCCTTCCCTTTGTTTCAAAAGCGGACAGATTCTTGCAGCAATGCTGGAACTCTCCTTCTCAAATCTGTTCCAGCTCAGTAAGCTTGATCTATCGACTCTAAACTTTACACGTCGAGCTCTCAACTTCAGACCCCGCACGCTAACCACGAGCGAAACGTAGACATCCACGTCTCAACTTTGAGTCCCCGGCTCTCGGAGGAAAAGCGGCCGCGTGGAAGGGTCGCCCCCTCGGCTTTCTGTCTTGCATGATGATTAACGTGCTCATAAACACATATCTGATCAACATATGGTGTGTGCTCACCCCCACCCTTTCCAAGAGGTTGAACCGTGCGGAGCTAATGCGGTAGCTTGTTGAAGGAAAAACGCAACAGAAAAACGTTGTAATGATTTTTTCCGTACCTCAAATGCATACCACCCCACACATGTCGCTTCCTACTTCGTATGAATCCGTGAAACCTCTTAACAACAACATGCCGTTTGGAGCTTCCAACATATGAAGGTTTCGATTTGTATCTTCAATGCTATTCTTTCCTCCTGCGTTACACGAACGGAACCAAACAACCGAGCATACTTCAAACCATGCTTGTCCCGTGAGCGCGTAAGGTCCAGAGCATCAAATTTTGTACCTGGACTTCACACGAATCTGCGGTGTACGGGCAACTTTGTCTTCATGCTGTAGACTATGCTTCTCGCATCCAAGCCATCATCAAGCCATATCTCTGCTCGCATGGGGGCGCTGTACAAAATTGAGCTGTTGAGAAACCACAAGAAAGACCACAGCTTTGTACAGATTCTATTCATACTCCGAGCGTAGATGGAGACGCAGACTTGAAATTGCACAGCGGTTTCTCCAGATTAGGAATTGCAAGGCCGTTTCTGCAAGTAAATGACCCTGGAATACACCCCCCCCCTTTTTATCGCGAGCCAGGGTTACTGTAAGAGAGCGCTTTTCATGAATTCCACGCCTACCCACGGATCTGTAACAATTTTTAAGAATACTGAAAAAATGCTAATGCTGCTCCTGTTGCTATTCGTGCTGTTTCGATTGTCATTGCTAGTGCCATTATGTTCTTGCTGTCATTGTGATGGATATTGTTGTATGGATCCAATTCTTCTTCTCGTCGTTGCCGTAACGGTTTCGACAGTGTTGTGAATGCCCCTAACGCCAACATGGTTGTTTCTTCAGTTTTTGCGGCAATTGAAAATACGACGACCACGGTCACTGCAGGTACTTGCGATAGAGGAGAATCATTAACACACATTGTCAATGCGGTGGCGGTAGTAGTAGTAGTAGTAGTAGTAGTAGTCCTAGTAGTAATAGTAGTAATAGTAGCAGCAGTAGTTGTCGCCGCCGGCTCAATTTCACTGTCTGATCATCATAGCTCCTGCCAGTCTTGCTATATGTTCCTATCTTTGCCATTGACATGCAGTACTACTAGGGTTACGCCTACTGTGACCTCTGGACATGGTATCATTGTCAGTGTTCACGAAATTATGTAGTTGGGATGGTAAAGGGAGTGAAAGGTTTGAGGTACCATCAAAATTTTCACTGCCGGTAAAAAGTAATACTGTAAATGAAATCAGGAAGGTGACTCTTCCTAACAATAAAAAAAGAGCTACTCATACTTGTTGTAAGCGTTGCAACACCAAGAACTGTGAGAATCAAAAAAGAGCTACTCATACTTGTTGTAAGCGTTGCAACACCAAGAATAATGGGAATTGTACAATACCATAAATATGTACAACTTGTAACAATACAAAAGGCAATGACGGCTAATCTACTAACATTACAAAAATCGATGCGAGTGATTTTTTTTATCTTGAGTTATTGCCCGCGGTGATGTGTCAGGAATATTGTAAGTTTTGAACTTATTCCGACCATTACACATAATGAGCATCACTTTATTCTTTTTTGTGAACTAAAATAACGATGCTGCGAGAACACACTGGTAGTAATACGCAAACGAGCGCAAGGATGATTTTCTGGCACTGTTTTTGCCAAGACAACGGAAAAGCGGCGACATCAGTCATAACTACACATGTACATGGGTTGTGCGTAATCTGAACAATCATAATATGTATACATATTTATATTCATGCACAAGGAAAACAAACATTTTGCCAGAAACTGGAAACTCATTTCCTCAGAATAAATTTGGTGCAAGGACTGGAAATTTCACCTCCCTCAAATCAACGGTGTCTTTTTCAATTTGCAAAGCTTGGAACGTATTTCACTTGATTTTTGGTCTGTATTCCTCTAAATAGAAACAGGTGTGATGCCGCTGCAAAATACAAAGGGCCCAATTTGGTGTTTACTTTCCGGAGTTTCTATTGTGATTGTGGCTTTGTAGTGGAATTGGAAGGTATAAAAGCTTCCATACAAGAAAGGACGTCAACTACTCCTGCAGGGTCTGACTGGCCAAGTAATGGTAACAACATTACCGTACTTATTAGTAGAAATAACAATAACTGTGGTAGAAAACAATCATGAGCTTCAAGTCATAGCAACAACATCCTTTGATGTACGGTACGAATCTACCAACAAACTACGTCAGACTCAAAGTGAAGCTCCCATCCAAAGCTCGGACGCCGCTTCATTCCTAGTCAAACCGCGGCAAACGAAATGCATATTGCTGTGTTGTCTTCCCTTTTTTACCTGAGGTAGATTTTGTCCACGGATCCTAAAAAATGTGGCAATCTTGTCCTGTCAACATATTGACCCCAATACTTGGAGGTTCATGCCTGATGTGGCACAGGATCTTGACAATTTGGACATTGGGAGCCGAGCTGTTCATGAATTGCCAAGCTTATGTACACCGAATCATTCCATGTATGAGCGGCCGTTACTGCAGGGTGACTTTTCCAAATGTGTTTGCGATGGTCGGCAGGCCGGTGGCGTCAGGT